CTTGAAAATAAAAGATGAAAAAGAAGTCTAAAAGGGACAACTTTTTTCTGCTACTTTTTGCTGCCTTTGCTTTTTTGTGCTCCTTCTGCTGAGGTAAGAGGAAAAGAAAAAGGAACATGACATGACTCATCCTTTTCCCAAAACAATCTCTGTTTTCATGTTCAGAGCCAAAACCATCTATGTTTTCATGTTCAGAGAACTTATGCAAGCAAAACTTCTTAGGAACATATTTCTGAATCTTTGAGGAACGGAGTACGGAGTATTGAATATAGAAGAATTTGAAAAAAAATTATCACTCATCTTGCTTGGCTCCGAGTGATGTTTTGTGGCAGAGACGCGGCGGTTTTCGGCGGAAATTAACCCGAATAAATGACGGGCCCTTCCTCTAGCGCCAAACTGTTGATATGCGAATTTGTATCAACATGGGGTATTCGAGAAATTGTTTGTATATATAGAATATGTTGGATTTCTATGAATTTGGTTGGTGAATTCTATATAAAATCAGTAAAACGAAATGGAAAAAGAAGAAGAAGCTCTGTATGTGCGATTTCTTCTTGTGAAGGAAAAAATATGAGGATTAGAAAGAGAAAAGTAATAATAGCCCCTCAGACTTATCTATCTGACGTCCATCATTGGGGTTTATATATATATTTTTGGTGGGACCGTTATTATTACAAGCAGTGTTATTTTTGGGCCCTAAAATAAGACAACTGATATAATATATATCCACGTGTAATATTATAATAGGCGAGGCCAAAATTGGGTATTAACAAACATGATTCGAGCATCTTAACTACATCGTAACTGAGAAATTTCTGAGCATAGAAATAGTAAATTGTTTATAATTTAAAACTTAATCAGCACTTACCTGGTAGTCGGCGAGACGTGAGCGTGATGTTTTCGGGTTTTTCTAAAACTTTCAGACTTACTGAAGTATTCAGATACACAAAAATGTGCTCTGATACCAACTGTAACACCCCGCTTTTCCATAAATATCAGAGTGCATTTTTTGCAAATTCTTTTCTTAATAAAACATGTTCATTTGCGAAATCCTTTTCGGGATGCTACTAAAAACCATTCATTGCTTTGAAAATTCGTTATCTCTATTTAAATTTAACTTTGAAGAATAAACGGATTAAATTTAGATCAACTAGCATGTAGTACTTTATAAAAATCTGTCTGATAAATCAATTTTAAAATAAAAACTGACATGCTAGATGAATTATCGTAAAATGACAGCGGAAGTTATGCGTGGCAAAACATAACTGTACAATAATGTACAATGGCTACTAGCCATGTCCCAAACAGCTCCGTCATCTCACTCCTCCGTCCCGACTTCATGACCTGAAAAACATGATAATAGTGGGAGCGTGAGTACTAAAAACATTGTACTCCGCAGAAACTCATACTAAAGTAAACATTAATCATAATATCAATATCATGGCTGCAGGAATATATAAGTAAACTGTAATCTGTAAACTCCAGACACGAGATCTGTACTGAACTGGCCATGTGCACATTCTGATGGGCAATTAAGGCTACTACGCCTCCACCAGAACTTTGGATGGGCAATTAAGGCTACTGCGCCTCCACCCAAAGT